TTAAGATATTTAGTTAGTTAGATTTATGACTTGACAAAAGTTTTTTGTAATTTGTTTTATCAACAAACTGGTATTTATTTTATGTCCACTTCGTTTTCATAGATTTTTTCGGCGAGCTTAAAGCCGACTTTAGTATTAGAAAAAACTCAGAGACAAATATTTTTTTAAATTAATTCTGGCTTTATAATATTCTTCCAATCTCGATACAACAAGAAATTCACCAATTTTCTTATTTGTTGTTTGACTGTTTCATCCTTAATTAATCCAGTTGTTTGTGTCATTTGTGTGTAGTAGTAATACAAATACAAAACAACACCAACGGTATCACGCTGTGGCTCAACAAACCCCACATTTGTCCCATCTTACCAACTGTATGTCATTGCGAAGAATTCACCGACTCGGAGCTCCATTTTTTACAAGCCAGTTCAAGAACTCTTCTGTAACTACTAAACTCCGTTTTCGTATTCAAAATATCAATTTTATCGACGTGAATTGTAATAATTTCAAATTATAGTTTTATAACTATTTTTTGGTTTTTTATTTTTTAATTTTGTTTTTGAAAAATTTAAATAGTTTATTACATATAATAATAAATATTATATTTTATTATAATTTAAAACGAGCCAGATTTTTCCACCAACTTGTTTTTTATAGTACTTTTTATAATATTTTTTATTATTTTATATATAAAAGTTGTTAGTTATAATTATAATTGTTAATTTAAAATAAAATAATTGTGATTTATATTAAAACACACCAACCAACAAATTGAGTGACAGTTTTTAAGTAAATTATTACTTATAAATATGGTAAATATATGTTTTATTCAACATCAAGTATCGTGATTCAATGTTTTGTAATGATCCATTTTATTACATTTTTCTATATTAATTTGGTGTTTTAAACCACTGTCTGATGTTTTAAAGTGATGAAAAGCAACAATAAATCAATTTTAACGAGTAATAGCAAGTTTACAGCTTTGTTCTGGTTAATTTCATTTAACTATGTTAAGAGAAGGTTGGTTAATAACAAATTATATTTTAATAAGTTAAATTATTATTTCATCTTTATTAAACAATTATTAATATTTATAATATTATCAATTATAATAAATAGTTTTATGTTATATATAATATAAATATTATATTATTAAACTATTTATTTGTATACTATACATTTTAATATTTTATAGTTTTGTTGTTAACTGTTGTTTTAAAAAAAACTACCGCGGCAAAAAGTCACCATCTGTAAAGAAAATGTTTTGAAGATCGCAAAAACAAACATAACTATGAATTTTACTAAAACTACTTTATTTTTGTCATAAAAACAAAATGCATTTTTGGGACAAGTACCTTATTTTCCTGTTCCGTGATAGACCCTGCTTGTTGACCGTTTTTTATTTTTCTACTTGAAATACAATTAAAATTTATTTCAGTTAGTTTCAAATTAATTTAAAAATGTTCAACAAATAAATAAGATTGTACCAAATAAAATAAAAATATTATCAAAATAAATTTAAAGTGTTTCACAAAAAAACAAAAATGTACATTTTTAAATGTCTCATAATCAATTATTATTGTTTCAAATAAAATTGTTTTTGTACAAATTAAAATTGTTTCAAAATTGACATTTTTTGTTTCAAATAAAATTAACAAAAATATAAAAATTATAACTTAAATAATTGGCAAATGTTATAACTTCTAAATATATTTAACAAAATAAATGAATATATTAACCCATGTTTAAACTTTATAATCAATATGAGTGACTCTATTGAATGTGTGCCTAAGTCTGAAATTGCATTTTTCATACAACCTTTTATAGGACCTTTATGTAAACCTCCAAACACTCCCCCAAATGTTTCTCCAGTTACTGAAAATACACTTTTAGAACAACAAATCAATTATCATCCTCAATTATCTTCTCAAATGGAAGAAGACATTAAAAGCACCGAAAAAGATGTTACAATACTCTCACGGATGAACAAATTTCATATCTTAGAGAGTTGTATGAAGAAAATGGATTGTCTCAATCCGTTGATTGGTATGTAAATAAAACCAAAATACCAACAGAAAGAGTGAAATTTTATATTAAAAAATTGAAAGATGGAAGCGATATAACAAAGAAGAAGAAAGGAAGAAAACCAAAATATACAGACGACATGTTGAAAGAGGTAACTTCGCTTCTTTGTCAACAAAATATGTCTTTGAGGCAAGCCAAAAAGGCCTTAGCAGAAAAAAATTACGATATTTCTGTATCTTCATTAGACAGGTACATAACCAATGAAAAATTGATGAAAAATGTCAAACTAGATCCTCTGTCATTTAAAAAGTGTCAATACGAGGAAAAGTTGCCAACACATTAGAAAATAAAGAACTATGTGTCAACAGATTGTTAGAATTGAAAAGTTGTCAAAAAGCCGGATTTGCTGTAGTGTTTGTTGATGAATCTCATTGGAAATTAGGTAATGTAAGAACAAAACGTTGGGGTTTAAAAGGGCAAAAACATTTTAGAATTTCTCTCCTGTCGACATTCAATATTAGTTGTATATGTTCGATTGCAGAAAGTGGAGACAAATTTTGCAGGGTGTTTAACCAAGTCGTTGATGGAGATATATTTTCTGCTGGATTTAAATTGCTTGTTGAACATTATATCTGTTTGTTTGGAAATGTCATTTTTGTGTTGGATAACGCTGTGGTACATCAAAAAGAAATCATCAAGATTGCGGAAAATAGAGGCTGCAGAGTTCTTTTTAATGCTCTATATTCTCCAGAGTGCAATCCGATTGAAAACATTTTTGGTATATGGAAAACTAGAGTTGGTAAACTCGAGAACAATGATTTAAAAGAACTGTTAAAAAATATTGGAGATTGTTTTGAAAGTATCGAAAAGTTTGATGTCAGAAAAGTAATTGGTAATTTTTTCAACGAAATGGCCGAAAAAGTGATGAAAAGAAACGATTTATAGCTAAATGTTTATCATTTTTGTTAATTTTATTTGAAACAAAAAATGTCAATTTTGAAACAATTTTAATTTGTACAAAAACAATTTTATTTGAAACAATAATAATTGATTATGAGACATTTAAAAATGTACATTTTTGTTTTTTTGTGAAACACTTTAAATTTATTTTGATAATATTTTTATTTTATTTGGTACAATCTTATTTATTTGTTGAACATTTTTAAATTAATTTGAAACTAACTGTACATAAAAATAATTTCTAAAAATAATAAACAAAATGAATGTAAAATTGCACACCCCAAATACAAACTTTTGAAAAATAGATCATATGTTAATTAAATAAATCAAGCACATGTATTGTTATACCCGTGGTTATTACAAATGAACAACTTTGTTCTCAAACTCTTTTAACAACCGAGTCATTATGCATAATTAATAAAAATTTTCCCAATATAGAAACTTTGACTATTCCAAAACAAATTGATGTACCAATTCATATGGGTTTCAAAAACGTTACCCAAGTGAATTACACTGATGGGGTGTTTTCTAATTTGTTAAATTTGAATCGATTCAATTTTCCGTCAAATTGTGTTTCTGTCGCTTCAAAAAAATATGTTGAATTCAAAACGTACAATAATCCAACTGTCGAAACAACCAACACATCAAAAGTGTCCAAATTAGTTATTGACAATAACAACACACACTCTTTGTATCAAATAAATTGGCACAAATACCCAAATCTTAAACTTTTGATAATGCATTTCGGTGAAGACGCATTATTTGATACGACTACTATTAACAGAATTCATCAAATGGAAATACCAAAAGAAATTAAAGTTGTTGTTTGTATTGAAAGTGACAATTTTTTAAATTCAAAAATAATAAAAAATGCAATCGAAAAATTACCAACTTGGACTTTTTTAATTGAAAAAAGTTTTGGGCATTATATTTACAATACAACATGGAGACACGTTTTCCGTTTTGATGAAACGACGATGAAATGAGAAAAGAATACCAACATTATATCTCCTATCGAGCTGATTTTGAATTCAGTGGAA